TCAATAAATGGTGTTGGGAAAATTGGACAGATATATGCAAGAAAATGAAGCTAGACCACGAACTTACACCATACACAAAAATAAACTCAAAATGGAAAAAGGACTTAAATGTACAACAGGAAACCATAAAAATTCTAGAAGAATCCAAAGGCAACAAAATCTCAGACATATGCCGAAGCAATTTCTTCACTGATACAGCTCCTAGGGCACTTGAAACTAAAGAGAAAATGAACAAATGGGACTACATCAAAATAAAAAGCTTCTGCACAGCAAAAGAAACCATCAACAAAACAACGAGAAAACTCACTGTGTGGGAAAACATATTTGCCAATGTCATATCTGATAAGGGCCTAATCTCCAAAATTTATAGGGAACTCATACAACTTAACAAAAGGAAGATAAACAATCCAATCAAAAAATGGGCAAAGGACCTAAATAGACACCTTTCAAAAGAGGACATTCAGAAAGCCAAGAGACATATGAAAACATGCTCAAAGTCACTAATCATCCGAGAGATGCAAATCAAAACTACAATGAGGTACCATCTCACACCTGTCAGACTGGCTATCATCAACAAATCAACAAAGGACAAGTGCTGGAGAGGATGTGGAGAAAAAGGAACACTTGTGCACTGCTGGTGGGAATGCAGACTGGTGCAGCCACTATGGAAGACAGTATGGAGTTTCCTGAAAAAACTGAAAATGGAACTCCCATTTGACCCTGTGATCCTTCTTCTAGGAATATATCCCAAGAAACCAGAAACACCAATCAGAAAGGATATATGCACCCCTATGTTCATAGCAGCACAATTCACCATAGCTAAGATCTGGAAACAGCCTAAGTGCCCATCAGTAGATGAATGGATTAGAAAACTGTGGTACATCTACACGATGGAATACTATGCTGCTCTAAAAAGGAAGGAACTCTTACCATTTGCAACGGCATGGATGGAACTGGAGAGCATCATGCTAAGTGAAACAAGCCAGTCAATGAAGGAAAAATACCACATGATCTCACTCATTCATGGATAATAGAGACCATTATAAACTTTTGAACAATAATAGATACAGAGGCAGAGCTGCCTCAAACAGATTGTCAAACTGCAGCGGGAAGGCCGGGGAGGGTTGGGGGACAGGAGGTAGGGGGGTAAGAGATCAACCAAAGGACTTGTATGCATGCATATAAGCATAACCAATGTACACAAGACACTGGGGGATAGGGGAGGCTAGGGGACTGTCTAGGGCGGGGGGGGGGGGGGAATGGACACATATGTAATACTCTTTGTATTACTTTAAGCAATAAAAAATAAATAAAAAATAAAAAAAGAAGAGGAAGAAGAAAATGGTAAAGATACAAACTATGAACAACAAATACACGTCTATCAACAAGTAAATCTAAAAAGCAAGTGAATAAATAATCTGATGAACAGAATAAACTGGTGATTATAAAAGAATCAGGGGCATAGAAAGGGAGTGGACTGACTATTCTTGGGGGAGAAAGGGGTGCGGGGGATGCAGGAAGAGACTGAACAAAAATCGTGCACCTATGGATGAGGGCAGTGGGGGGGGCGGTGAGGGCAGAGGGTGGGGTGGGAAACTGGTGGAGGGGAGCTATGGGGGGAAAAAGAGGAACAAATATAATAATCTGAACAATAAAGATTTAATGTAAAAAAAGAAAAGAAAAAGAATACAAACTGGATACAGAGAGAATGCCATGTCTGTCAGACAAGAGGCAGAGACTGGAGTGATGCTGCCGCAAGCCATGGATGGCCACAATCACCAGAGGCTAAGAGCATGGAGGAGCTTCTCCCTCAGAGTCCCCAAGAAGGAACCAACCCTGCTAAATGGCACTCTGAGATCAGACTTCTGTCCTTCAAAACTGTGAGAGAATAAATTTCTGGGGTTTTTTGGTGGTTGTTTTTTTAAAAAGAATACAAACTGTAAGAGGTGCAAAAAAAGATGCAGTGCGACCAGCTGGGAGACAGCTCCAGGAGTAAGCTAGAATAGATGACATCAATGAAGGTGGAATAAAGCTGATGGATTCAAGACCTATACTAGTATAGAATTTGTTGATAATTTAATGTGGTAGGTAACAGAAAAGGGAAAAATCACCTTCAAGAAAATAAGAGGTGATTGGAACACACATAATCCCACAACCATTACACACATAATCCCACAACCATTTACACATACCATCATATTGTGTAAGAAAAAGCAGCAGAGATTGCATTTATTGCATACTTACCATTTCAGGCATGAGCTAAAACGTTAGGGGCCATTATTTCCTTCCAATCGCAAGACAACCCAATGAGGTAGCTATTTTACTATACGATTTTACAGATGGGGTATTTGCAACCCAGATATTATACTGGATATTTTACACACTTGTAACCAGAACAAAATGTTAGCTTCTTAGGTTCTGGCTGGGTGGCTTAGTTGGTTGGAACATTGTCCCGTACACCGAAAGGTTGCGAGTTCTATTCCTGGTCAGGCACATACCTAGGTCCAGAGTTCCATCCCTGGTTGGGTGATGGGCAGGAGGCAACCAATCAATGTCTGTTTCTCTCTCTCTAAGAATTAATAAAAACATATCCTCAGGGAGGTTCTAAAAAGAAAGTCAGCTTCTTAGTACAAAGGCATATTTTCTATGTTGTATATACTACTCCTTTCTTTTCTTTGCACATTCAGATAATTCCATTTTTCATTTATAAAAAATACAGCAATGATCAATTTCATTTAGTGCTTGTCTTAAATTATTGTCTTAGGATAGAGGCTCAATCAGTTCAAAGGTAAAATCACCTTTTGTCATATTACAATGTAACAGAGCAGAAAACTATTTTTTTACAAACCAAATCATTCTCTGGATAGGTTTAAATAGTCATACCTTTCTTTTAGTATATATTTTTTATTGATTTCAGACAGGAAGGGAGAGGGAGAAAGAGATAGAAACGTCAATAATGAGAATCACTGATGGCTGCCTCTTGCACGTCCCGCACCAGGAATCAAGCCCACAACCCAGGCACGTGCCCTGACCGGGAATTGGACCGTGACCTCCTGGTTCATGGGCTGACACTCAATCACTGAGCCACGCTCACCAGGCTAGATAGCCATACATTTAAAATAATGGTACTGCAATATTTAAGAAGGTATTCCATATCATCTTGCCTCATCCCCAAATCACTCCACTGGAGACTACCTCCCAGGCAGTGAAGCACTTCAAGAAAGCTTTCAGATTTATGATGGTAAAAAATGGGCCTGCTTTCTTCTTTATAAACACCCCAAAACAATGAGAAGAAAAAAAACAAAAAGGTAAGCCACAGTCAAGGAAAAATAATCACAACAAAAGTTTCTGATCCAAGGAATGTATCAAAAATATGTAAGGAAAATTTAGCCCAGCCGGCGTGGCTCATTGGTTGAGTGTTGACCTATGAACCAGGAACTCATTCCCAGTCAGAGCACATGCCCAGGTTGCAGGCTCAATCTCCAGTGTGGAACCTGCAGGAGGCAGCCCATCGATGATTCTCTCTCATCATTAATGTTTCTATTTCTTTCTCCCTCTCCCTTCCTCTCTGAAATCAATAAAAATAAGGGGGAAAAAAAGAATGTATAAGGAAAGCTTATAAATCAGCAATAAGAAAATGACACATTTTTTTAAAGCAAGCAAAGGAAGTTATCTGAATGGCCAAGAAACATATGAAAAGCTTTTCAACATCATTAATTATTAAGTAAATGCAAATTAAAACACCAGACAATCCAAATGTCCATGAGATGAATGAATAAACAAAATGTGGCATATACATAGAATGGAATAATATAATTCAGTCTTAAAAAGGAAGTTCTGATATATGTTACAACATAGATAAACCTTTAAGACATTAAGTGAAATAAGCCAGATACTAAAGGACAAATTTAGTATGATTCCACTTATATGAGGTTCCTAGAGTAGTCAAACTCAGAGAGACAGAAAATATAATGGTGGCTGCCAAGGGCTGGGGGAGTAGGGCATGGGAGGTTGACTTAATGAGGACAGGGTTTCAGTTTGTGATAATGAAAAAGTTCTGAAGATGGATGGTGATGATGGTTGCACAATGTGAATGTACTCAATGCCCCAAACTGTAACAGTTAAATATGGTTAAAATGGTAAATTTTATAATAAAAAAATTATCAAATCAGAAAAAACACACGCCTTAAGATACCATTTTATAGCCACTACAATGACTTAAAATAAAAGGAACTGGCAGGTAATACCAAAAGTGTGTGACAATGTGGAGTAACTGGGACTCTCTTACAATGCTGATAACGTAAAATGATACAACCACTTTGGAAAATAGTTTGGCAGTTTCTTATAATATGAAACACACTCCCATGACCCAAAATTTCATTCCTAGGATCTATCCAAGAGAAATGAAAACATATTCACAAAGACTTGTACATGAATGTACATAAAGGGGCAGGCAAAAGCAGGTTTATAGTTGTGAATATGTGCAGAGTTTAATCTTGTACTATTTATTTGTATTACAACTGTAAACCTAGTTGTAAACCACCACAATCTCATGATTGCGTATGTCCCCTAACTGGTCTCTCTACTACTCCTGCCTCTCCTTCTATTCTTTCTCTGCACAGCAACCAGAGCAAATTTTCAAATGTAAATCAGTTGTCATGATCTTGCTTAGCAACTGTACTAGTAATCAAGACAACCTTCTTTTCCATAAAACTATCATCCCTACATGATGTGATTTCTGCTAACCTCACACAGCTTCATCTCTCACCATTCCCTTTCCACTGTCCTGCAGACACACTGGTCTTACTACTGTTCCTCAAACATGTTAAGCTTGTTCCTTCCCTCCAGAACGTTGCACCAGGTAGTCTCAGAACACACTCTCCCCAACTCTGTGAATGGCTAGTTCTATCTTGTCTTTCGGGTATCTGCTAAAATGTTACCATCCCAAAGAGGCTTTCCTGGATACCCAATCTATTCCCCAACACTCGAAAGCATCTTACCTTCTGCATGAGCTCAGAAGAAATCACCCATATGAATTATCTTATTTATTTGTTTATGTTGTGTCACCCCACTAGACTGTAAGCTCCATGAAGGCAAGGAACCTTGACTGTCTTGTTCAGTCAATAAGAATGCCTAGAATAGAAACGGAACTCAATAAATAATCAATGAATGAATTAGACATAATAAATCTGACAGAAGTTAATCACTCAAAGTCTAGAGTTCCTAAATATTTGTATCTAAATGCCTGGCTGGCCCTAGCCAGTTTGGCTCAGTGGCTAGAGTGTTGGCCTACAGACTGAAGGGTCCCAGGTTCGATTCTCCGGCCAAGGGCATAGGCCTGGGTTGTAGGCTCAATCTCCAGTGCAGGAGGCAGCTGATCAGTGACTCTCTCTCATCATTGATGTTTCTATCACTCTCTCCCTCTCCCCTTCCTCTATGAAATCAATGAAAATATATTTTTTTAAATGCCTGCTGTTTTTTGGAAATGGTTCTAAAAATACAATTATCCTTTAAGCATACTCTATGCAAAATCCTATATAAGATATGACATCTAACAGTGCCCTAGACACAGAGTCAGGAAATAGCAGATGAGTATATGAGTATATATGTATCTTACAATATTAAGTATAAAATGAAACACTGGCTTAGTGTTTTCCATGAAAATAAAAAATAGAGTAGCATTTCAAGCGGTTTTAAATATTAATTTTAGAAATATATCTACATAAAATATAAAAAAGGAAAAATAACAAAAAAGCATACAAAGAAGCAAGAAAGCACTCCTGTGGTAATCAAAAATATAAAAACCTAAAGACAAACTCAGGTAGTTCTCTAGTGATCTAATTGAGTAAGTATCACAAAACTATCCTGACAGAACAGAAATAAAAGAAGCAATGCATTAGCAGGCTTATCCATAAGACTTTTTTTTCACATTTTATTATAGAAAATTTCAAACTACAAAAATGTAGGTAGAACAGCATAATAAACCTTCACATATCCTCACTGAGTTGCAACAATTATCAATATATCTATAAAAATTTAATAAATCAGGTAAATTTCCCATACAACACAATTTCCACAACACTGATGACAGTAAACGAAACAAAATACACATATGTACTTCAGGCTTATTTTCCCCAGACTGATCAGCCTTTGACTACTTAATGTAACAAAAGTATGAATTTCTTTTCTGATCATTTATGCCCATCATGATTCTATTCTGATGCTTATTTTAGACTAAAAGAGACTGTGCGTGGGTACAGTCTCTAGGCCTGGCCTGAGATCAGGGCCATCTTCCCTGGTTGCCCACAGCTGGCCCCACCCCCTGCTGCCACCCACCCCTAGTTCCCCTTTCGCCATTGGGTGCTCGGTGCCTGACAGCCGGGGTAAGGGACTGAGAAGTTGGCTGTTCCTGCCCGCTTGCCGGCCCCGACCCTGCTGTGGGTTGCGCTGTGTGTGGGGCAACTAGTGGGGGTGGGGGCCTTGGTCTGGCACCACCCACATCTCCTGCCAGTGGTTCCCAGTTCCTATCAGGCGAGCAGAGCCTGCCGGCCGGGGAAAAAAACCAAAAGTGGTCAGTGAGCCTCACAGTGACTGGTCCAGCAGTCATTATGATCATTCTGCCTTTAGAGTCAATTTGCATATTTCCCTTTTATTATATAGGATAGATGCAGAATGAAAAGCTACAGTAAGAATTTTTAAAATACCAGAAATTAATCAAATGTGAAAAGACTTTTACTTCTTTTTTTGTTGTTCTTGTTAATCCTCATCCGAGGATATGTTTTTCCATTAATTTTTAGGGAGGGAGGGAAGGAGGGACATTGATGTGAGACAGACACATGGATTGGTTGCCTCCCCCACATGTCCTGACCCAGGCTGGGGATTTAACCTGCAACCCAGGGACTTGCCCCTGACTTGGAATCGAACCTGCAACCCTTCCATGGATGGGCTGACACTCTAACCACTGAGCATATGCAAGCAAGAGAATCAATTTCCACACTACTTTTCATAAACTTGATCTGCCTGGATAGTTGAATTATCAATAAAAGATTTTTAACCATAACATTTATTACTTCATCAGAAAAGTACAGTGCATGGGCCAAATCTTGCTCACTACCAATAAAGTTTTATGGGAACACAACCATGCTCAGCTGTTTGCTTGTTGTCTGTGGCTGTTTTTTGCACTACAATGAAAAAGTTGAAGAGTTAGGACAAAAGCTACATGGCTCACAAAGCCTACCATCTGGACCTTTACAGAAGTTTGCTGACTTCTGCTTTAAGACAAAATTTTGTGAAAATGGATGGATACAAGTTCAAAAAGAAAAATGAAAAAAACATGAAATGGACCAATTCCCAGAATGATACAAATTACCAAAAGTGAGTTAAGAATAAAAGAAAATGTGGATAGACCTATATCAAGTAAAGAAATTGATTTAGTAATTAAAAATCTACCCATAAAAGTCCTTTCCCAGGGACTTCATTGGTAAATACTATCAGACATATAGAAAGAAATAATTGACAAACTCTTTCAGAGAATATAAAAGGAAGGAACATTTCCCAACTAATTTACCATGGTAGTACAGTTGATCTTGAACAATGAGGGAGTTAGGGCAGTCTAAAATCTCTGAACTTTTGATTCCCAAAAAACTTAACACTGTCCCTTGGTAGCCACAGGGGATTGGTTCTAGGACACTCTCACACCCACAAGGATACCAAAATCTACCAATGCTCAAGTCCCTTACATAAAATGGCATAAACAATGCATACAGTTGACTTATATTGATAGATTCCCAACTGAGAATTGAAAATACTGTTTTCAATCCACACTTGATTGAATCTATGGAGGCAGAAACCCAGGTATATGGAGGCCAATTTATAGAAAAAACACATGGCTCAGTGGCTGAGCGTTGACCTATGCACCTGGAAGTCACAGTTCAATTCCCGGTCAGGGCACATGCATGGGTTGCAGGCTAGATCTCCAGTAGGGGAGCGTGCAGGACGCAGCCGATCTATGATTCTCATTATTGATGTTTCTTTCTCTTTCTCTCTCTCTCTCTCTCTCTCTCCCTCTCTGAAATCAATCCTATCTAATAAAAGAGAAACATGCAAATTGACCATGCCCCTGAACGATTCCCATTGGCAAATCAGGGCAATATGCAAATTAACTGCCAACCGAGATGGCGGCGGGAAGCCAGGCAGCTGAAATGAATAGGAGGCTTGCTTGCTCCAGTGATGGAGGAAGCCAAGGTTCCCCGCCTGCTGCTGCCGGCCTCTGAGCTGCAATCTAAGAAACAATGTTGCAATTATAGAAGCTAAACAAGCTCCAGATAGCTGTTTTCAGCCAGCCGGCCTCGGAGCTTAGAGAGGCAGTGATGGCAACAGTGTTTCAATTATAGAAGCTAAACAAAGCCCAGATACCTGCTTTCAGCAGCCGAGGCCTCAAGCTGGAGCCGGCCTCAGAGCTAAAGCCGGCTCTCAGTTCCAGTGACAGCCATCGAAAGTAAATAAATCCCAGAATAAAAAGAAAAAAGAAAAAAAGGAGAGGCTGGGAGCTTCAGTCACCAACCAGCCTGAAAACGGCCCTCAGCCCTTCACCCAGGCTGGACAGGCACCCCAGTGGGGACCCCCACCCTGAAGGGGGTGTGACCAGCTGCAAACAGCCATCATCCCCTCATCCAGGCTGGCCAGGCACCCCAGTGGGGACCCCCACCCTGATCCGGGACACCCTTCAGGGCAAACCAGCCGGCCCCAACCCGTGCACTAGGCCTCTATCCTATATAGTAAAAGGGTAATATGCAAACTGACCCTTACAGCAGGACTGGGAATGAATGGTCACTATGACACACACTGACCACCAGGGGGCAGACGCTCAATGCAGGAGCTGCCCTCTGGTGGTCAGGGCGCTCTCACACGGGAGAAGCTCTGCTCAGCCACAAGCCAGGCTGATGGCTGCCAGTACAGCAGTGGTGGTGGGAGCCTCTCCCGCCTCCTCAGCAGCGCTAAGGATGTCCGACTGCAGCTTAGGCCTGCTCCCCGCTGGCAAGTGGACATCCCCCGAGGGCTGCCAGGCTGCCAGAGGGATGTCTGACTGCCATCTTAGGCCCAATCCCCCCGGGGAGCGGGCCTAAGCCAGCAGGTGGTCATCCCCTGAGGGGTCCCAGACTATGAGAAGGCACAGGCCGGGCTGAGGGACCCCCCTCTGCCCCCCGAGTGCACAAATTTTTGTGCACCGGGCCTCTAGTAAAAGTATATTTAAAAAAGAAAAAAATTCAGGTATAAGCGGATCCACGAAGTTCAAACCTATATTGTTCAAGGGTCAACTGTATCACTTTGATAACTAAAGCCAAACAAAGACATCAAAAAGAAAACCTCATATCAATATCCCTCATGAACACACACAAAAATTCTTAACAAAATATTAGTAAACTAGAGGCCCAATGCATGAAATTCGTGCAAGAGTAGGCCTTCATTCCCTTGCTGCCAGCACCGACTTTCCTCTAGCACCCAGCACCCCGGCTTCCCTCGCAGCCCCGGCTTCATCCGGAAGGATGTCCGGAAGGACGTCTGGTCTAATTAGCATATTACACTTTTATTATTATCGATTGAATTCAGCAACATATAAAAAGTATTATACACCATGATTAAGTGGGGTTCATTACAGGAACACAAGACTGGCTTAACATCTGAAAGTCAAGCACAGTAATATAATATACCATTTATATATATCTTAAAGCAGCGGTTCTCAACCTGTGAGTCGCGACCCTTTGGGGGTTGAACGACCCTTTCACAGGGGTCGCCTAAGACCCTCGGAAAACACATATATAATTACATATTGTCTTTGTGATTAATCACTATGCTTTAATTATGTTCAATTTGTAACAATGAAATTGGGGGTCACCACAACATGAGGAACTGTATTAAAGGGTCGAGGCATTAGGAAGGTTGAGAACCACTGTCTTAGAAGGTTTTAAAAATATGTTTTTACTGATTTCAGAGAAGGGAGAGGGAGAGAGATAGAAACATCAATAATGAGAGAGAATCATGATTGGCTGCCTCCTGCATACCCACTACGGGGGATCAAGACTGCAACCCAGACATGTGCCCTGAGAATTGAACTGTCACCTTCTGGTTCATGGGTGGATCGATGCTCAACCACTGAGCAATACCAGCTGGGCTCTTAGAGGGTTTTTAATGTAATAAAGCTTTATTTGTATATTTTAAAAACATCAAATTGTTATTTTATTTAGCTTTGTATTATTTTTACAAAGTCAACATTTACAATATAAGAAATTGCATCCTTAACTTTGTATTGTTGTTAATCCTAACCTGAGGATATTTTTTCTATTGATTTTTAGAGAGAGTGGAAGGAGGGAGGGAGGAGGAGAGGAAGAGAGAGAGAGAAACATTGCAAGTGCCCAGATGGGGACTGGGGATCAAACCTGCAACCCAAGGACGTCCCCTTAAACAGGAATTGAACCAGCAGCCCTTAGGTGCATGGGCTAACACTCCAACCCAGAGCATATCTTTAACTTTTAAAAATTAAATATTTAGCCCTAGCAGGTTTGGCTCAGTGGATAGAGCCTCGGCCTGAGGAATGAAGGGTCCCAGGTTCGACTGTGGTCAAAGGCACAAGCTCAGGATGCAGGCTCAATCCCCAGTAGGGGGCATGCAGGAGGTAGCCCATCAATGATTCTCTCATCCTTGATGTTTCTATCTCTCTCTCCATCTCCCCTCCTCTCTGAAATCAATAAAAATTTTTTTTAAAAAATTAAATGTTTAAACTACTTAAGTTTATGATGAAAAATTTCAGATGCCAACTTAAAAGTAAGAGATTTCCCAATGTTTTAGAAACTTTCAAGCAAAAATATTTTAAGACCACACTGACCTTGAATATGTATGAAATGATGATGGGGAAAAGGATCACTCATGCCAAAGCAACTTCACCATCTCAGACAACCAATAAAAAAATTACTTTTTATAATTTGACAAATTCCAATTCCTTCTAATGTCTAACCTCACAATTTCTTTATTCTTGTAGAGTACTAAGACCTAAGCCTAAAATTCCTGGTGTGAGCCAACCAGTGCTGGGGTCAAGTGATGCAACAACCTTCCTTGATCTTACATTTTCCTAATGCAATCTAATACTTCAGGTCACACCAGTTCTTCTCACAGGCTAACCATACCACTGACTCAGATGACTGAGATTCCACATCTTTTTATACATGAGCCCCTCCTAGGTCACATCTCTCCCGTCATTAACTGGTATAACTGAATTTTTTGGACTCCAAGTGGAATTCCTCACATTTATAAGATCCTTCCATTCCATTAAGTTGCACTGGGCAAATCTTGAGATTAGCCAGATGATACTTCATCAAGGCCACATATTTGCTAAGCATACCTTTCAGATAAGACTATAAAGACATTCTGTGTATAAAGAAAGTGACAGAGCCTCAACTCAGATCATCAGATCCCAGCGGTCTTGTATCCATAAATCAAACCCTCAAAACATAGATACTCAATGTCATGACTCCATCTACTTTTACCACAATCTGGCAAATTCCCCCATCTCACCCATCATGCCATCATAAAAGACTTAAATGCCTTGCTAAAATTGATACTATCACTATGGATATTATATCCACTTTGAGCTACCAATTTGGATGCCCTGTCCGGCTGATCTGAATTTATAAGAATTCTAGTAACCTGGCTACTCTGGCTGAGAACAACAGAAAAATTACACATTTTCCACTCTGAATTAACTACAGAATCTCAGGAATCACGAGGAACTTAAACATTTTCTAGTCCAATGTTTTTCAAACTATAGGTTTTAGCAATCAGTCAATTTAGTGAGTTGCAATCAACTTTTTTTTCTTTCAATGAAGTAATGTCCGAGTGCATCATATGTAGAAAGGGTAAATTTTTGTTGTGTGTGTGTGTGTGTGTACACACACTTTATGCATGCAGGGGACATACTGAGTCATGATGTAATATGTATCTAGCTGTGGGTCACAGTCAAAGGAGATATTGTTTGAGAGACATTGCTAGTCCCAAAGCCCTACCCTCACAAGGAAGCTCCAACAAAATATTCTTGGTAATCAAAAGTTGTTGTTTGTAACCATCTTCACAGAAAAACCAACAAATAGGAATTTTGTGCTTAGTACACCTAATCTGCTATTCATTAAAAAAAAAAAGACTAGACTCATTCGGGGGTTTCCAGTTGAAATAGGGACCTACTCAGAAAACTGTCATTTATGCTTTCATGAGATTAAGACCAAGTATACAGACGGCAGGATGAAATCACTTTAGCCAATGGCTACGAAAGAGAACAAAACCATTCTGGGTCTTCAGCTCCTCTCCTGATACCAGGGGAGAGGATTGTTATGATTCCAGCTAGCTCTGGAATTGGGAGATTTATTGAAAACTAACTGGCCAAGCAGGCGAGGACTATGCCTCCCACACAGCAAAATATTTTAACCACTTATAAGTCAATTATTGTTAAAGTCAACCAATATCACACAAAGAGCACTGATAATAAGAAGTTCAGCCTTACTCCAACAGCAGGAAAGAATCATGGGGAAGTTCCCAGGATTCAGCAGAAACTGGGCCCTGCAGGTACCATTAGTTTCTCAGCCACCTCTCCCTTCCAGACCCCAGTTCATCTCTGTCCTCAAGCCATCAGCCATGGATGTGGCACTCGCGCTCTTCCCGGCCACCCTACTCTACTGTGCAAAAGGAAACTGAGGCACAAAGCAATGAGTGGGCGAGCTGCAGCAGCCATCAACAGGGCTAACCAAGCGCCCAGGCCGCTTAAAGCTGCACACCCACTCCATTCCCAAACTGCTTAGAATCCCGCGGTCCTTGGCCTCCACCTCAAACCACGCCCCCGAGGCCACCCCTAGTACCTGGCCCTCGGCGCGCCGGACGCGGCCTCGAGCACGTGCGCGCCTCTATAAAAGTCTAGGAAGCCTGGAATCTCGAAGCCTTAAAGCAAACCCACCTGGCAACCCCGGAAGCCCTCTCCCACCAGCACCCACAAACCAGCCTCCGCCCCTGGCTCCCACCTCCAAGCCGTCAGGTCCGCGCCTCCTCGGCACACCACGCCAATCAGCCCAAACTCGAGGAGGAACCCACAGACCAAGGGGCTGCTTCAACCCACCCCCACAGGCGCGGCCGCCGGAAGTCCCTGCGTATCCACGCCACCGTCGTGAGGTCACTTCCTGTGGGACGCCTTAGAAACGAGGGCGGGCGGTTAGGGGCGGGTCGCCGGGAAATTGAAGAGCTTGGGAGCCCGCGGGAGGGCCGGTGTTGCTTGCCCCGCCTGCTTATGTCGGCTGGAGACCTGCTTGGCTGGGGTCCTACCCCCATCCCGGCCTGGATGCCTGGGGGACTACGCTCTTTCTGGAAGACTTGGTGACAAGCTCCCGCTTTCCCTCTAGCTCCCCTTGTGCTAACCTCCGAGCAAGAGCAGAGAATTTTGGGGACGAGGAGTTGTGACGTGAGCCCCATCTTTGGTCAGTTGCAGCCGTGGGACGCAATTAAGTAGGCCCCGGGATGGATTAAAGGAAACTAGAAGTCCCTTTGTGGTTGATCAGAATTTATCACCTTTGGCCCATTTGGGGATTAGTGTCAGCCAATCTGTGCGTGATTGTCCCCCTTCCCCCCGCATCCGCCCCCAGTACTAGTTAGTTGCACGAGAAAATGCCTCTCCTCCCCTCTTTCCTCTCTCCACCCGCCCCCCCCCCCGCCGCCCCCCCTCCCCCCGCCCGCCGTGGCATTTTATTTTGGTAGTCTTGATTTTTATGAAACGCAAGTGTTTAGGGCCAACATTAAATATAATGAGGAATTGTAGAACTTAGAATTTACAAGATCATCTTAAAGTCTGATACCTGGTTTGAGAACCACTGCTTGAGCAGGCAGCACTGGGTAGGGTAGTGGTTTCAAAACTGGTTCTTCGAAATCAGTTGAGGAACTTTATAAAATTTTCACTTTCCAAGGACTCTCCCTTCCCCTCCCTCATTACCAGAGATTCAGTTTTAGTAGGACTGGAGAGACCTTGGCATCTATTATGCTAAAGGTTCCTTCTAGTTTGGGATCCACTGGTATATTGGCAGTAGGGTTGAGTCCTGAGTTGAATTTATTTATTACAAACAAGCTATGCAATTCGAGACAAACCTAAGATAATAGCTAACAAAGTTGCTGTGGAGTTAAGTGAGATAATGTGTACCTGAACATGGTTGATATTCCCAAATGATTGGTCATGGGTTGATGGTTCTTGGGGCTGGGTTATAGTATATAGGGCTTTATTATAATACTAGAGGCCCAATGCATGAAATTCGTGCAAGAGTAGGCCTTCCTTCCCCCGGCTGCTGGCACCAGCTTCCCTCTGGCACCCGGGACCCGGGCTTCCCTCGCAGCCCCAGCTTCGTCTGGAAGGTCGTCCACTTCCGACCAGTCTAATTAGCATATTATGCTTTTATTATTATAGATCATACTGTCTACTTTTATGTATGTTCAAAAGCCACCATGATGAAGTTTTTAAATAACAAATATTTAAACACACTGGCCACTGTTCAGCTTTACCAAGGCCAATGCAGCCTCATTTGATATGTTAATATAGCTCAAATAATATTAGCTATGAAATGGTTAAAATAGGAACACATTGAGCTATGTAGCAGCCAGGGATAAGTTTAACATTACACTGAAAGTGTAGTAGTGTTTGTTTATGGCACATGTGTGAGGCATTCTGGAATCAAATTTAACGATTATTATAGTAAAATGTGACAGCAAATTATAACTGCAAATAAGCATAATTAGTAAGGAAAGTAAAAAAAAAAGATTCATAGATTTCAAAGAGTACTTGTAGGGAAAAACAAAACAGCTAACTGGCTGAGATCTAATCTCAACAAAACCAAAAGTAGCCTTCCTGGTTTGATAAAATTAGCTCACTTTGGGAGCTTTGAGCAATTAATCAACAATAGAATAGTAGGCAGCTGCTATAAGTTAATGAATAGCTACTGACCTGGAAAGAAGAGTTTTAAAAAAGGTCACAGAACAATATGTACATTACAATCTCATTTTTGTGAAAACAAGCTACATATGTGATGTTCCCCAAACAAAAAAACTACATGTGTAAATGCATGGAGAAAAGTCTGAAAGGATAGATACCCTCTAAACTGTAGCTACCTAGGGGAGAGGTATGGAATGGGAGTACGGGAATAGGTGAAGAAGATTTTCACTTTTTACTATGTCATGAGCCACATAACATTTCATTCAACGACAGACCAAATAAACGATAGTGGTATACCATATAACCTAGGTGCGCAGTAGGTTTGTGGAAGTGCATTCTATGATGTTCACACAATAACGAAATAGCCTAACAGCGCATTTCTCAGAACATTTCCTGTTGTTAAGCAGCACATGACTGCATATACTTCTGAATTGTTACAAAGATTATATATAATTAAAAATGTTTAAACACTTTTAAAATTGTTTAAAAGAGTTCTGAAATGGAGCTTCTTAGGAGCATTCCATCTACCCACTGCCCTAGGAAAAGTTAGCTCCCACTTCACCAAAAACAGAGCTGGCCATTCAGAATGGGGCATTGGTTACTTATGCAGAAAAGTGTGTTACAGCTATTAAAAATTATGATTTCATGTGTACTGTCAATCAGTGGGGAAACCCATTTTAACAACTTGGATCCCAATCAGAGTTACTTCCCACTTACACCCGCAAAAAGGGGAGTTTGCAGCAATCCTTCCTGTACCTCAGCATGGTGAAGAATACAGAAGGGCAGAATTCAGGACTAGAGACAGGTCAGGACACTAAGAACTCAGATACCATTAGCAAGGCCAAGTGCCCCCACAAAGAGAAAATTCCCAGCTTAAGAAGTGGAGCAGAATACCAGCATTCTACAGGGAGTATTAACAACAAAACCTCCTAATAGCAATACAGTCAGTACCTGTTTAAAGATTACTTAAAGTGAAGGTTGAGGAAAGGCATAAGTAACCCAAGACTGGCAATAAGGCCCTGCCATTAGGACATGACAATCCCAGGACATATCTTGGCATCCAGAAAAGGTTCCACAGAGCTTGGAAGAGGAGAAAACCAGGCTCAGCATTTTTCATGGTCACACATATTTAAGGAGTTTTATCAGCAAAAACTAGAAACTGATTTCAGAACTCCTTCTACCTTATAGTAATTGACACATAAATTGCTTATTAATTACATTAAAAAAAACCAGTAATTAAAAAAAAAGTATATATAGCCATGGCCGGTGTGGCTTAGTTGGTGGAGCGTCCTCCCATACACCAAAAGATAGCAGATTCGAATCCCCGTCAGGGCACATACCCAGATTGTGGGGCAACAGATTGATTTTCTCTCTCTCTCTCTCTCTCTCTCTTTCAAAAAACAAAAAAACATGTCCCTGGGTCAGGATTTAAAAAATATTTTTTAAAAAGTATATATAAATAGAATGTTCATTTCATATGTCTTTGATTCATTCAGTAAGCATTTATAGAGGGCCTGCCTTCTAGGTGTCATATTCTGTGCTGGGTACTAGGACAGGAATAAAGACAGAGTTTCTGCCTTCAAGGTGCTCGTATTCCAGAGGGAAAAACAGAATTACAACTAGCATGATACAAAAGCACCAAGTACTATAACAGCATATAGGAGGGGACCCTAACAAGCAAGTGGGGAAGGAGACACTAACAGGAGCACAGAGTTTTCTAGATGTGACATTTTGCTGAGGTTCAAAGGATAAAAATGGATTAGTTAGGTTAAATTAATTAGGTGAAAAAGGTTATTCCAGTAAAGGGAGAAGTGCATAGATAGCCAAGGAAATGTGGGTAAGTTTGGCCCATCCAGGGAAGTACAAGTAATTCAACTGGATAAAGTATATATGTAAAATGAGGAAGTGATGATAGATTGATCTAGAATGATAAGCAGGAACCAAATCCCAACGGGCTTTCTGGTTTCTAAGGAGCTTAGATTTATCCTAAAGGCAATGGGAAACAAATGAAAACTTTAAGCAAGGGAGTAAGACCAGATGACAAATAATGACAATCCAAATTAAGGCAGACAGGTGAGGTTATGAAGTGAAGACAGGCATTATAAAGATGTTTATATTTTAATATTTTTATTGATTTCAGAGAGGAAGATAGAAACATCAATGATGAGAGAGAATCATTGATCGGCTGCCTCCTGCACACCCGCTACTGGGGACCGAGCTTGCAACCCGGACATATGCCCTTGACAGGATTCAAACCCGGAACCCTTCCGTCCATAGGCGTCAATGCTCTATCCCAGGGGTGGGCAAACTTTTTGACTCGAGGGCCACAATGGGTTCTTAAACTGGACCGGAGGGCCAGAACAAAAGCATGGATGGAGTGTTTGTGTGAACTAATATACATTCAAAGTAAACATCATTACATAAAAGGGTACGGTCTTTTTATTTTTAGTTTTATTGATTTCAAACGGGCCGTAGTTTGCCCACGGCTGTTTTAGGCAGTTCTGAATGATGGTTGTAATTTTGATGTGGTTGTGGGAGGTTCCAAGTACCACTTTTACTTATGCCACCATCTTGACTGGAAGCCCCAGTTTGTTTATATTTTTAGAAGAATTTTTGCCTCTATATTCATCAAGGATATTGGTTTGCAGTTTTATTGTAGCATCCTTTCCTGGCCTAGGTATCAGGGTAATGTTGGCCTGATGAGTTTGGGAGTGTTCCCTCCTCTTCACTATTTTGGAAGAGTTTGAGGATTGGAGTTAGTTTTTCTTTAGATGTTTGTTAGAATTTGCCAGTGAAACCATCTGATTCTGGGCTCTTCTTTGTTGAGAGGTTTTTGTTTACTAATCCAATCTCTTTTTTTATAGTCCTTGACTTGACAGTACATATAATAGAGTTCCAGAATGACAGAACTGAAAGGAATCTTAGAAATTATCTACTTTACTGCCCATTAATATAGGTGAAGGTTTAGCAAGTTAACGGTGGATCCAACATTGGGATTTGGGTCTTCATTACTTACATGTAGGGGGAACATATGTCCCAGTTTGCCCAGTGCATGCCCAGTACTCTGTCATAATGATTAGTATCCCTCCGTTTACTCTCAAATATGTTCTGGTTTAGACAATAAATTCTAAGTCACCCTACTTATATGATATAGGTTTCGGGGATAAGCAAGCTCTAAATTAA